CTAAATGATTCTATGATTCTATGAGTGGTTAACAGAGAGCATGTGTCACGTTTTACAGCTGGCCAGCCTTTCTACAGCTCTATCATCCTGAACACACTAGGCAACCCACACAAACCACCTTATTACTTAATCATGAACTATTCTTAATTGATTTAGAAAATACCCTAACTGGAGATAATTTCTTTCTGTCTCTTTAGGAGGAGAAATTGAAGCTATACTTGGGCATTATCGTACCCAAGGTCTATAAACATACCCAAAAATCATACCCAAAGATAACACTCAAAAATTTCTAAACCCCAGATAGAAGTGAACTAAATAACAGCATTTCTTAAAGTGAATGTGTATTTGTAAATGTCAGACCTCAGGAAAAGATACATTACCAGTAATTGTATTTCTTGAGTTTCAAGAAGTCTTAACCAGTGAACCAGTCCTTTAGGGATAAACCAGTACAAAGAATTTGTGAAAGATGTGAAGGGAGGACACAGACTGTATCTGCGGGGAGCACCTTAATTGCCGATATAAGGAACAGTCACAGTGCTATGTCCTTTCATCTTCATATGTTCCGTTACTATAAATATAGCAAGTGAATAAATAACCCCCTGTGTTTCTTAAGTTTTGTCCGCATATGAGAACCAAATCTCATTTTTGTATACTTATGCAAGTCAGCTTCCTACTTTCTATCTAGATAAATGGATTGTAATGGAGGTGAAGAGTTCATGGCTTCCAAGGCTTTTACTACTTTTTAGTTTTATTTCTTGCACTTTTTTTCAGAACTTTGGTCTTTGACAGAAGCATGTTACAGGGTGGAACTGCATTCCTGTTGCACTACACAGATTATCCTGGTGCATGCACTGAGGTGGTAGTTACTACTTAAAGAGGATGAGGTTAGAAAGACATCTCAGAGGCAAAACTCAGTCCTCCAGGAAGAGGGCTCTCTGTCTAGTTGGAAATTTTTTAAAATTCAATGTGATTGTCACTCTTTAGATTTGCTTTTAGAGGGAAGTTTGTCGTGTTGCTCTTTATTCTTTTAAAGAGAGCTAAAGAAGGTTTGCAAATAAGCACAAAGCAAAACAACAAAGCTATTGCTTGTAATGATGTGTCTCTCTGCATGGACAGAAGATAAATGTTGTTCTGCAACTCTGAATAGTTTTGGAGCTTCAGAGCCCCATCAGAATTGAAAAGTTCTAAAGGAAACTGTTAGCTGCTGAGTAGTCTTAAACAACTCTCAAGCCATGTAATAGAAAAAAATCCAGACTGCAGCACCAACAGATTAGGTTGTTTGCTATCATGATTTTTTTTTTTCACTACCACTATTTAAGGAAGACAAAGCTGAGAGATAGCCAAGTCTTTCAAGGAATTTTTTTCACATTTTCTTCTGTGGGGATAATTGATGTATTGGCTCTGTTCAGGATGGGTTTTCCTCAAGTTTTACACCAGCAATGCAATCTTTCCACAAGACCATTTAATGAGTGAAACTGCTTTTATCAAGTCTTAATTTTGAAGACCCTAAACTGCAGCTTACATCAATAAAGGCTTTTCTGATTTATTTTTTTTAAATTAAGTAGCTGTCAGCAGCATAGGACATCAGTGGGTGGGCACAGAATTACTTTGTTCATTTGCATGACACTTGGTAGGACTGTTAGTCTTATATTTAAGGTAGGAATCATTGCAGTCAGTCCTGTTTAGCAGGGTCCATTGTTCGTTCAGTGACAAGGCTCTAAACTGAATTAGTTAAGTAAAAAGCTTCTAGAACACCTTAAAGGAATTAAATGGAAATTAAATGGTTGGAAAAGGTGAGTGCTAGCACACAGGCTGTATCTTTCATACACATCATTACAAAAACCAAATAAGCTTTCCTAAGCTTGCATACATCAGGAAATAATTAAGAAACACGTTGTTCACATTAGAACCAGGCAGTCACTAGATGTGTCAATTGTGTTACATAAACCAGCATATCCAGGAGTGACTTACTCATGCGAGGGCTGTGGGGCATTAATATGTCTCAGCAGAACTCCAGGCTTTTGACACATTACCTCAAAGGTCTTAGGCTCAACATCGCACCTGTTGAGATATACTTGCTCTTCTAGAATATGTCAAAAATATGTATGGATTAGTCAAGTCTGTTAAAAATAAATCTGGCTGTTCTAAGTGAACCAGAGTATTAATACTGCAGCATTTATGCCACGTTAAAATAGCTTGCACATAACTAGCTAGACAACCAATGGAAACATAGGCACTATTTATCTTTTAATTTGAGATATTATCTGTTTTAAGGTAGTCACATGTTCAAATTTAATGCCATGCATAAGTGAATATCTCAAATGTAATAATTTATTCAGTTTATGCGATACCACAGGTCAGTGCATCGACTAAACCTGTAGTCTGCATATCTGAATTTACACTGTTTTATTTCACTTTCAGAATTAATATTTGTTTAATATTTGCTTTTGCAACGCATTCAGAATGCCTCACTGTCCATCTTTTAAAATGTTTGTCACAAGGAAAATGAGAGTAGGAAATACTTTCTCTTGGCTTACCTATCTATCACTACTACACACACTTTTGCTCTGTAGATGTAATTGGTAGTTCATCAGCAAAATCATCGTTGTGTTCAGTGGTGTAAAGGCCACGATATCTTCACTGCTGAGCAACGTTGCCAAAGCATACTGTTAGGACAATCAAGCTTAATTAGATTCAATTTTATAAAAGCACTGAACAAAGTTCTTTCTCTACCATCTGGGTTGCTGCTTTAGTGACTCTTTCCAATGAAATTCAGGAACCAAGCCAGTTTAATTAGGTAATGTTTATTTTACATAAAGCAATCTCCAAAGAATATTAAAAAAAATCTAGAAACTGATTTTATTGCATTTATTTTCTTACAAAAATAACAGACAGGCACAGTTCATGTATTCAAATATTTCAGACTGGATGACAGCTGTTTATTGTTCAGATTTCCCCAATGCCACTCCAAAGGTATTCAAATACTTCAAACTGAACAACAGCTGTTCATTATTCAGATTTCCCCAATGCCACTCCAAAGGCTGTGAAAGTAGAAAAATGTCATTTTACACGAGGCAGTAGTGCATTTAGTAGGAATGAATCACAAAATATATTTTTTGTACAGTGAGCCGTTACTGTCACTTTATAATTACCTATAAAATTTTTGAATTGTACAATAAGTCTGCTTTACAATTGACAACTGCCAGAAAATAGGCTTAGTTTGTAACTAAATATTTGCCCCAACTATCCCTTAGAAACAAATTAGGATTTCTTTTGGTAAATACTTAAGTTTAATAAGAACTATGTGATACATCTGAGGTCATTTTAAGATGTTTTAATAGGAAGAGGTTTATTATATTCAACTAAAATCAATTTCTGCCTACCTCAAAATCCATACAACCACAATAGCTGAGCGTCTTAGATATTTTGATTTGGAAGTACCAACACCAATGAAATCTGGAAGTGTTTAAATTAATCTATTTCCCATTTTTCTGCTTCATTATCAATGCTGAAAAGGCACTGTGTACATTCCTCTGAACATTTGGTGTTTTAGGGCTTTTGAAAATGGAAAAGCATTCAGCAAAACTTATATGTTTAAAAGCAAAAAAAAATACTGAATAGACTTCCCACTGATGAATGTAGTCCATGGTATCTGAAGACACTCATTTTCCATAGAACTTCTTATTCAACAAGAATATGAGCAAATTCACATTCACTTTAGCTTTATCGAACATTTTCATTACAGCCACACCTTCATACTGCATCTGAAGCAAATCCTGTAATCAGAAATAAAATCATTGCTGTCTGGTTGGATGCATACAGTACAGCAACAAGATAGGGTCATTTTCATAGTGGCATAACCATTTCAGAACTCCAGGCCCATTTAAACCATTACGAGCAAGTGTTGGATAGGTGTAGAAAATATTACCTGTCCTCTAGACCCCTAACAGCAAAACAGAAGCAGTTGCTTTCTGTGTATTTTTCTTTCTCTTGGTATTTGCTGCTTGCCATTAATGTGGCATTGGGTTTTGTGCAGTTGCCCAAATATAACATTAACCCAACTCTGTGCCCAGTGTCCTAGGGCAGTTATATTGCCATTCCACATCGCCTGCTGCTCTGTACTGACTGAATAGTTCATGAATACATGTTAAAAAGGAGGGGAAAAAAATGAGAAAGTTAGAGGAAATGCAACTATGGCTATATAGCAAAGTAACAAAATTCAAACTCTACCTGGAAATGGAGTTGCACTTTTTCCATCTCAACCCCCAGAAATTTTGCTTTGATTTCAAAATCACCCACTTCTTCTCCAGGTGTGATTTCAAACATCACATTTTTAAACCTTGAAACAAAAAGACGGGTAACTGATTATGTATGCTATGCAGTTTTACACAGTCCAGGGACAGTTCAGTGGAAAAAGCCTGCAGAACACAAATGAACTTTGACTGTAAGCTGTGTCAAATAAACCACCCCATGCCTACTGAAATACCTTCTTGGAGACTTTCTGATAACACAGTGTGGAATACAGAGCTCCCAGATCTTTTATATTGGAAAAAAAATGGGCTGTGGGAAGTTCAGGGGACAAAGGTGATGCAGTATCCACAGCACGGGAACAGGGCAGCCAGATTTTCATTCCATCGTGCCCAAGTGTCTTCTTGTAGCTGTGTACACACTCTGGTTTCAGTTAGCCTCACATGGCTTCCTCTGTCTGATGAAGCAACTTGGAAAAAAATGTAAACCAAAAAAATTTTCCACACAGAAGATGGGTGAAAAGGTGCAGTGGATAAACCTTCACTACAGCAGCCTCCAAATGGGTAATTACAAAAAGGATGTTAGATGACCATATTAATTCACTTTGCCATAGTGAGGAAATGCAGAAAACTAGGTGTTTACTCAGTTGTATGAAAGTGATCGGTTAGTAAACAAAAACAAACCAACCCAAACCCCAAAACCAGTTACAACTGCTAAACAAGTCGGTCATTAGCAGGGAGTGTGGTGCTGGACTTGTACTGTTCCATCTAACCCAATGCCAAATAGGCTTATTCTAATATTTTCCCCAATATAATGATATAGCAAGGTACAACAGAAAGTATTAATTTATGACAGTTAGGTTTTATCATTCTTCTGAATGCAAAAGTGACAATTTTAGGTCTGGCACGGGAGATAGCGAAGATTTTAACAAAAGCTATGCCCCATAAGAAGCTGTTGATAAGAAAATTCCATTGACTGTTTTACACCACACTTACTGGTTGATTTGAAGATCTTCAATTTCTAGGATGACACCTTTTTCATGCAGTCTTGCAGCTGTGTACTTTAATGATGCCTGCTTCATTTTTTTGCTTCCTTTTACCTCCTCTTTTCCATCTAATTTAATTGACCTCCGTGAATTTCTGAGAAGAGAACAAGAAAAATGTCTTTTGATTTATCTACCAGGTCTTTTATACTTCAGCTACTCTTCTAGCCATGTTTAGCTTTCCTCGGCTCTTTGCCTTCTTGAACTCCTATTAATAAACAGAATTAACATTCAAAACAAACCTAAGAATTAGAGGGATTTTTATCATACAGTGAATAGTCCAAACATGTTGGCAATGATTTTGAACCCATGTATTTTAACAGTTCTTTAAACTCTATTGTGAAATGCAACATTGATCCAAAAGAGTCCACAACCATCACTTTTAAACAGCAGTTTGTAAGCATGTAATGACATAGGTGTTAAAATAAGATTGGCGATAAGTGTTAATTTTTGGATGAGGTGTGCACTGGGAAAGCTCATGTTCAGGTCAGTAAAATGTTTTCATTTTGACACTTGAGTGACATTGGCAGAGTGGCTTGATCTCAGGTAACTGCATTGTACCTGAAAAGGAAAATTCTTTAGGCATTTGTTTTCCTGTTTTCCAGTCTAAAGACAAAATCCAATCGTTTTAATGAAGCAAGAAAAATCAGTAATTACTTCCCAAAGCTGTATGACTTCAGAGCATGTTAGCAGATATGCAAAGTAGCACCAATTAAATGTGTTGAACACATTTATACATCTCAGGCGTCTTCCTTTAAATAAAGCTTTAAATAAATGCAAGACTTTATTTTCCAGGTTTTGATTTAGGCCATAGTGACAACTCACATGGACTTTTTAATTTGTGGATTGTCAACCTGTTGGAATCAAAACTTTCAACTAGAGATTGACACTTACTCCCCTCCTGATAAAACACACTAAAATATAAAAAGACAAGACAACTCAACTCACTTTCTTGTTAAGTTGTCCAAACAAGTTCTTATGTAAGTGTTGTAATAATTAATTTGTTCTTCATAAAATGCTGTCTTGGAGTTAAGTGCATTCAACGTCTGCTGGAGTTTCACCAATTCAGCTTTTCGATGATGTCTGTATCTCCTTTGATTCCGGATATCCTAAATAAAAGTATTAATGTAATTGGTTTATTAATTTGATGTTTTAAGAAATCCCATATTTTTACCATTCAACTGGACTTAATTACTGGGCAAAAGTGTGAACTGCCATGTTAGTTCTCACAAGCACGGTACCAGCAGTGAGCACTACAGTTTACATGACTGTACAGAAGACAATCACACTGCTACTCATGTAGACAAGTGGTGGTATCTTAAACTCTACTGTGACCTCCACAGCATGATAGACACAGAAGACGTAAGGAAAACTTTGTCTTTATGCTATAAGTGGGAGTTTTCTCACAGCTAGTCTCTGGCAAGTGGCCTAGAAAATGAGAGCTTAGGCTTCTACTAGGTGAGAACTAGCTACTGCTTAACGAGACCTTGGGTTCAATGTGATGGTTTAGTTGAGGCAGTGGAATGTAAAATAAAAGCAACTTAGCTTCCAGTTCTTAGGCTCATTCCAAACTTCAGGTTGCCTTAACAGCTCAAAACAAAGCCTCTGGGCTTATACGTAAGAAATAAAGAATGAGGTGCTGAATCTTATGTAGAATAGTTTTGACTAAGTAGAAACAGATGCAAACACCCGAACTGAGCACGGCATTAAAACAGCACTTCAGGGCAGGTGCCATAACATGACATAATTATATTAGTGACTTAGCTCACATGAGCAATTTACTAATTTCTGTATTCAAATATTTGCAGTTAAACCAACCCCCACCCCCCATTTATAATATGTAAATCACTCATGTGAGCTATAAGCAATTTACTCAAGTAATTAAAGATAATCCAATTTACTCATGAGTAGTTAGAGATAATCCAATACCCTAAGCATTTTACAGCTGTTATTGTGTGTGCTTTTGGAACAGGAATTGCTGATTTGTGCACAACAGGCCCAGTGCTTCATCGATGCCAGGATGGGGACTGCATTGGCTCACTATTTTCCTTGTGTTCTGCCCAACCACTGTAGATCGGTGTCAATACCAACCAGAGAATGTTTTGGGGATTTTTAAGTCTTTTTAAACCATACAAAGATGACATTAACTATTAACTGAAACACTGGTGGGTAATTCTGATTCCTTTTAAAATATAAAAAGCTATATTGAAACACATTGTACTGGAGAAGTTAAAACAGTATTAGTATCAAATCTGGATAAAAACATTTACAGTTGTATGTTACTCTGTTCCAGTAGTTATGTATGACAGTACTATCTTCCACTTATTTTGTCAGCACAGAAAGATGATTTATTTATGTGGATACATCAGTGATTTAGTGTAGCAGTCTCTGGAAAATATATATTGTACATCTCTGGCTGGAATAGATGTAGGCAAATGGCTAAATACCATCAATGCACAGGAAAGCATGTTCCATTTACCTTGGCAATTTCATTTATAATTTCTTGGTACTTAGATGCTGAGGACACTAGTCCTGCTTGTTCCAGTGTCCGGAGATTTCTCTGAATTTTCCTTTTCTTTTGTTCTATCGGTAGCTGCCCATCTTCAAAAACAGACTGAATGTGCTTCATTTCCTCTGGAGTTTTGGAATCTAAGATGGCACGTTTTTCTACGAGTTTCAAGTGCTCAGATTCCTGGGGAAGGAAAAAAAAAAAAAAAAAAACAAACCACACACACAAAACCCAAAGTTATTTTCCAGCTCATGACAACAGTTCAGTATTGAACTACATTAAATTCTCAGAGGAGATTATCAGGAATCAAGGTGCAGACTTTATTCATATCTTCTTACCACATGGTCTTAAAGTGCTCCATTTACTGTGTCTTTTGACAGACCTGAAGTAACTAATTACAGCGCCCAGACATGTATTTCAATTAATCAAAACATGTCTAAAATCAGCCAGATGACTTAGTGACTTCACCTACTTGTGGGAAGACTATCCATATCTCACAGGTGTCCCCTACATACACAGATACAGAGGCAAGCTAAAATGTGCACACTATTGAGATGTGGCTTTGCGTGCCAGTATCTATAGGGAGGTCTTCAGCTAGGAACTCTTCCCGCTCCATTCCTATACCAAGGATAGCAGTAGTTCCCAAGGGAGATGTTTGCTTGTAGTGCTTAAGCAAATAAACTAGATGTCAGGGAACTTAAATTAAGATCCTGAAGCTCATGAGGAGGTGAAAAAAATTCTAACAAAGATTCCCCTGAGGCTTTTTGGTTCCTTTATAATATAGGAGGGAAAAGACTCTGTTTACAAAAAAAAGTAAAGAAAAAAGTACCATTGTAGCTGTACTGGCAGACAGCAAAACTGAGTTTTTCTTTTCCTCTGAAGCTCCAACAAATTATACAGTAAAAGAAAATTTGCATGTCTCACATCTTGAAGGCTCTAGATCCAAATATTCTAAAAGCAGCAACAATGATTTAAAGTGGTGGAGAAAGCTGTCAGAGAACTGTTGAGGCTACTTTCTTACATATTCAGGCACAGCATAACACTTACCTGTTGTGCAGTGGGTTGTGTTTCTAATATTTCTAAGAGCGTATCCCCTGGCTGTGTTCGTATCATATCCACAAGAAGTCTTTTGGTCCTTTAGAAAAGAATATAGAAATATTACGAAACAATTTTCACTGGATCACTTGTGCATTTCCTTTCTCCAACAGCAAAACAAGTGCCCCTTTTGTTACAGATACTTTGTAATGTTTATGTTTCCTAGCTTTTTATGTTTCAGAACTTACATCAATAAGGTTGAACATCTGGCTTCTACACAGGTCTGAATAAGAGAACTACATGCATACTTCCCATTACTTATTTTAGAAAAGTTAACCAACTAGCACAACAGTTACAGTTAATAAAAATCCAAGCAACAACTCACATGTAGATTTTAATTATGAACATGACAAAACAACACATAGGAATGTAATCTTTGCAAAGCCTGAGCTATGTATGGTCATATTTACTGTATGAAGTGGAAATGCCCTCAGAGCTGCTGAACTTCTGAAGGAGTTTTACATTTGATGCCGTGCATTTGTGCACACCACTTAAGGGCAGATATTTCCCTAGTGACAACAGACAAGGAGCATTTCCTTGCTAGAAAAAGGAAGCTGCTACACCCTGATATGTAAACCAGTTCTTTTTTTGGTAAGAATTTATCTCATTCCTGTTGCCTCTTCAACCATAGTACTTCCAAGAACATCCAGCTACAGAATTCTGTTAATTTAGAGGACATGGTTACAGATTAGGTATAGTTTATTATTCTCAAAAATTAACAGAATCTTGAAGACACAGCTTAAGTTTCCAAGGAAAATGTCTAACTATGATGAAGCTTCTGTGATAAAACATTGTGACTTGGTTTGAAATGAGTTTATCTATGGGGTTTGAAGGTTTTGTTGGTGTTTTTAGGACTGGAAGTTCTCATAAAAATGCAGTGAAATGAGGCAAATGGTTTATTCATATGAATTATCCAAAAACACAAGCTTCCATGGAAAGGACAACAGGTATGAATGACTGACAGCACAGGCAGGACATGAAGCCCTGCTCCTTCTATGTTAGAAGGCAACCTGCTAAACCTCCTGGAAATGTTTGTTTGTACAGAGCTGCTATTAACTGCAGCTGCTCTAGCACATTAAACAGCTTCTAAAGGACTGCTGTTAAATGCATTTTTCTTTCACAAATTCTCTTGGAATCTCCACCAGTGTGCCTGAAAAGATCCCCGAAACAAAATTTTCCTGAAGTTAGTTCATTACATCCACACACTGCTGTCTTTCTCTGCCTGAGGCAACCCTTGTCAGTCTCTGGTGGTCACCACCACAGTCTACATTAGCGTATGTGGGATGGCGTGACTGTTTTATGCCCTGCCTTAGAAACGGGTGCTGATACGGCTGGTAAGACAAGAGGCTTTCTTTCACTTCCTCTCCCTCCAGCTTCCTGTCTCAGAATAGTAAACCTGCTCAGCTCTGTTGTTTTCCAAAAACACCCATCTTGGGCTGGATGTCTCCCCCTTCACTTGCTACTTGGCATGCTCAAACCCCACCAGGCACCTGACGGTCAGGTGTACCACCAAATCTCATGATTCTTCACAGAAGCCTTAACAAAGTCCTTTAAAAAATAAATATATTGGTATTTCTATAGAGCAGGCTTGCATAGAAACAAGAAACATTAAGTGAATCAGCTGTGACTTGAGGTTTAGCCAGGTGACTAATGTTTCAGAGTTGCAATACAAGACTTCTCTGCTTCTAAGGTAGGAAAGCCAATCATCTGTATTTACACATCTCTTGCATAAAAGGTAGTTGTATTTTAAACTGCAGCAATATCAAAAGTTAACACAGGTGGATAATTATTCTTCTGTCACCTTTTCTCAAAATATGAGAAATATTACTTGAAAGCACTTATGCAATAGAGAAGCTAAATTCTTTTGTTAGTTCTCATGCTATTATTTCAACATATTTCCACAGCATAGAGAATTAAAGACATTTCTTTTGGCCTTGACTTTGCATATTTTAAGTATTCTGTTAAAGGATAGATTTTTACTCCCACATAGAGAAAAAAAGGACAATTTTTTTTTTTTTTTTAAGGGAGGCACATCCTTTTTACAAATCCAGACTGCGACAGCTGTAAAACTTTGGTCTCTGGAATATCAAATGGCTAACACAGTTTTGAATTCACATTCTCCCTGCAGTCTCTTTATTTTAGACCTCAAATTATGTTTGATAACACACTACAGAAAAAAACTCAGTCTTTTCTTCAAGATTCAAATAAAGTATGCACAGTTACAGGGAGAAAACTCCTCTTTCTATAAGACAATTAGTAAGTTATCTTGCACTTAAACTAAAATACTTATTTTCCCCCCCAAACTTTAAGTAGGCATTTATGGCTTTTATAGGAATTGAACTACTTACTACAGCTAAGAACTTTCTTCAGAAGTTCTTCAGAAACTTCACATATTACCTAATAAATTCAGTTTACTGATTTTTTGACGTGGAAGAAAACCCAGATGAGGGATCAGAGTTGAATTACAACTGGTATCTACATTCCTAGTGCTTGCAAAGAAGTGAAGTCTTTACTTCCCTTTAAAGTGAAGATCAAACCTTCACACTTGTGGGGTAAAAATAAGCATAGTAGTAGAAGAAAGCAGCATTTCATTCTCTCCCTTGTTCAGGAAGCACCAGGATGTTAAATAAGCCAAACCTTATTCTGGATAGCTGGAAATGACTTCAAAAGAGGGGTGTCAGTAGGTTGCTACTAAGTGCTTTTATAAAAATATTTTCAGTTATAAAATAGCTTATGTCCCAGAGTATGCCAGTAGCCATTTCTTAATTTTCTCACCAAACAGAGTAAACAATTTTCTTTCCCTTGATGGAAGCATGAATTATTCCTGTTGAGGCTACAGTCACATCCTGTTCAAACACCTGATGGCAGTGTGTCAGGAAAGTGTTTTCATTTGAGGAGGAGGAGAGGGCAGTGTGATACTGTCCACCCTTAAAAAGTTATCTCTGCTTTCTCAAGACTGTGCTGCTTTAAAGCACAATACTTTTACAACGTCATGGAAAAGCACTTTACTAGGTGAGATAATGATCCAGTTGTGCTGCAAACCAGACATGAGAGTGTATTTACCTTTCTGTAAGCTTTCTGGAAGAATTGCCATCATCTCTGACTTTTGCTAAAGTGTGAGCAGGACTGCACTTAGGCAGGGTAGGAGGGTGGAAGCAAGATTTAACACAAAACAAAACAACCCCCACACCACCCGCAAACAAACAAACAAAAACAACAACAAAAAAAACCTCACAACCCTGTAGACAAACATTGTCACAATATAGGTTGGAAAAAACCTTACTTTATCATCAGGCATTTGAGATCCTGATCTTCACCTTCCCGTAACTCATATTTGCTTGTTAGAGACAGCGAAATCTCTGTTTTTGCAAGTTGATTCAGCATGCTTTCCCTGTTGGGGTCATTGGGATCAACAGCTCCTTCCCCTGTAAGGAAACATTGTTTACCTCTAGTTTGCCAACTTTTCCATGATTCAGTGCATGAAGGGAACAAGGACCTAAATAAAGCACTGTAAATCATCAGAAATATCTTTACTAAATGGCATATCCATTCCTACCATTTAGGAGCAGTCTTTTTTTTGAATGTTGAACAATAAAAAACAATTCAGCTATTTATAAGCCCAATTCGCATATTTTGGAAATACCAGTTGTTGCTTTCCAAGCTACTGATGTGCAAGACACTCACTTTTCTTCTCAAAGAAGAATACAAACAGTTTAACATCCTTTATCCTAACATGCAATAATAGCGAAAAAATGAGAGTAGCAGTTATGTTAACAGGCTTTTAACTAGGAAGCTGGTATTATCCTTGACATCCTAACTACTTTCTAAACAGTTCATGTCTCATTACAATTAAGGCTAATTAAATATCAGTAACAGTTATTCCTTATAAATTTGCATAATTTTTTAAAGCTTCAGTTTTATTTGGATAAGTGTGTAAAAATTTTTAAGGCTATTTTAAGAATTCTCCATGCACTTTCTGTGAGTTTCTAGCCAAGATTAGCAAATCTTAAGATCAGGATATTAAAAATCACTTGGATTCTATCTGCAGTTTGAACCACAACTGTATCATTCTGCTTGAAACTATTAAAGTTTGGATTTAGAATTCTATCAATAGGTTTTAGAGTAAATATAGCAGTTACAAGAAGGTTCAACTATAAGAAGTAGTGTTACAAAAAGTGTTCAAAATTCTCCAGTAAATGAAGCTGTCACTGTGAGAGACACGAGAGTATTTAAATCAACCCCCCATTTAATTCTGCCCCTAGAGTGAAGTAAACCATGAAGAAGAGGAAGAGTATACCAAGGAATGACTGTACATCAGGAACAGGTCCCAGCCCTTCCAGCAATTCATTCAACAGGTCATTTGGCTCAGTGGCAATGGCATCCTGGTGTTCTAATAGTAGCTATGAACAAACGTAAATGAAGTCATTGTCAATAGAACCCACTCCCACCATCTTTACACTTGTAAATGAACCTGAAGACTAAATGCTGAAAAACAGAGATGTAGTGTGATCAGTATTATGTGGGACCCAAGGAGAGAAAGTGTGCTCAGTTCTGGACTGTGAGTTTAGAATTACTCTTGCTGTAAGACAGCTGGCCTTGCTCCTCCAGCAATCATCTCTGGAGAGCTGAACGCCACAGCTGAGCAGAAGTTTAAGATTTGCCTTTAGGACTAACAAAGTATCACAGAGTAGAGGGCTATAATCCCAAGCACAGCATTGCAGTGCTGCACCCTTATCTGAGTACACGAAGAAATGAAGATAGGGTTGGCGGTCCACAGAAAGATTCCCATTTTCTGTACCTCCATTCCAGTAGCTCACAATAGCATCAGTGGTACAAAATACAGTAATTTCTGACAGGTAAGTGAGAAACCAGCTACACAGCACCTGCTGCACAATTTCTAATAGCCTTGGAAGTTGCAGGAGATTTGTGAACATATTCACAGTAACTTCTGATGTACCCGGGCATGTTCTCAAATCTTTCAGCCACAAAAATACTGGCAAGCCAAGTAAATAAGAAGCATGAACAAGGCTGTAACATTTTCTTGAAAACATGCTCTTGCTATCCATGAGAAAAATAACCTCATGCTGAGTTAAAGCCATTAGAGTTAGTAGCCAGTAGATTCAACAGTCCATTCCCCTTAGAAGCAATATTCCTCACTCGGAGGATGACAGCATCACCAAGCTTCACTGAAATTTGGCTACAAGAAATCATGCACAGTAGGCAAAAGCACCAAGTTTTCAAATATTTTAAACACTGCAAATTTTATTAAGCCAACTGGTTACTAGAAACTTCCTGACAACTAAAAAGCCTATGTCCAGAAAAGGAAGGCATTTCAGACATATGAAACAGATGTAAGCATTAAAGTCCATAACCATTAACTTGTTTAAAACAAGTTTCTCTCCTTTGTGCAGCAGCTATCCCACACTGTACGTATTGTTAACTATGGTACTGTGAGGACTGCTGAGAAACACCATGTACTGGTTACAGCTCCACCATGTTTGATGCTATACAAGCACAGAATGAAAGAGACATTCACAGGATATTTTTTGGGGTGGAGGGAGAAGATACATGGGAAAGAACACAAACCCAAACCTGAAGAACATGCCTACAGAGGTATGCAATGAAAATTAAGTTTAGGCAAGTGCCATGGGAGATGATGACAGATTTGAGAACTTTTTCTGAAGGTGAGCTACACATGGCTAGAGACAGAATATTCATGCATCTGTTGCTATTCTAACTAACGTTGGTAGGGTTTTTTTGTTTTGTTGGGTTTTTTTTTGCTTTTTTGAGCTGTATGACCAAAATGGAAAGTTTAATTTACACTTGCAGGGAAGGGGCAGTGCAAGAAGACCAGTCTCGTGAAGCTTCAGGCTGTTAGAGAGGATTTGGTAGATGAGGTGGTATGGGACAAGGAGATGAACTGAAGAGGTTATTTCAAATGGAAAAACAGACACTAAGCCTTCCCCAGAGACTGTTTGTTGCACATATTTCATAATCTATAAACTTTAGTCTGTTGACTGATATATTTTCATTGACTTACTGAATGAGTATTGATAATTTCTTCAATGGAGATATATATGACAGGTTTTCTCAGTGTCACCATGTCAGAGTATTCATCGATATTGAATTTCTCTTCTGGTTCAGGAACATCACATGCTGCTTGAAAGAAATTCCTAAGAGAAAATTAGAAAGACTTCAATAATTTTCCCCCATAAACTCACTTTAGTTAACCCATATAAAAAACCCACAAGTCTTTCACATACATTATATTTCTCTTATAATCTGTGATCTACATTTACGGTTTCAAGAAACATTTTTTTTGGAGGCAATGCATTTACGTATCAATAAATATGACAAAGCATTCTGTCTTTCCTGGACAGCTAGTAGAACATTGTTTTAGATGTAATTTATTTTTTCCTCCTTATTCAACAAGGAGTGATAACTTGGTATACTATAAATACTTAGAGAAATCTGTATTTTATGCTCTAGAAGTTACAAAAGGATTTACAGAGAAAGACCCTCCAATTTTAAGAAGACACTTTGTAGTGTGAAGTGCACTGAGAATTATTTGAAATAGCTGCACAAAATTACCATGGCCTACAAATATTTAAATCACTGTTACTAATTTTAGATGAGGCCAACAGAGATGCTGCAGGACCTGTCATGTGTTCACTGTGCCAGTCCTGTGTTGTTGAGGAGGATGTACTTTTCAGGCTCAGAGGGCATTTGAAGTTGGTATTAGGAAAAAAATAACAAAAAAAGGTTCAGGGTTACTCAGTTTGGAGAAGAAAAACTGAGGAATATGATCAAGCTGTACAAGATCATAATGGTGTGGCATGAGGAAATGGGACCGGGGGTATGAAATGAAAGTATCAGGAAAATACTGGTTTCAAATGAAAGGAAGCACTGTTTTAATGAACAGCTAACAAACTTCTGAATATTGCTACAGGAGGTGGTTGTGGATGCAGATGATGTCAAAGTTTTAAGAAGTGTTTGAACGATTTGCTGCACAAATTCGTAAAAGCACAGTAAAAGATTTAGGCAGGGCTGGTAGCTTTTAACTTGGCTTATATTGCAGTTAAGTGACTACAATAGGCACAGGTAGCTGATAGTAGCCACCATTAATGCCTATGGAGGGTTTAACTGAAAAAGAGCACAGACACCCCAAGACTCAATTTTGTATAAAGTGAGTTTAACTAGGAGAGGAGTCCTTTTTGTAGTGATCAAAGGGCCAATGAAAGTAGGCTCTCTTTCATTAGCATTTGGTGTTCTTTCTGTAATGCTTCCTACCCTATTGTTTCTTCATGTTTATGCTGTTCTCTTAAATGGTTCAATAAACAGAATGACTGTTTTAGTATCTATGTGATCATGGCTGTTCTCTCAAGGAAACCCATTATATAAAGAGCACATTTGCTTTCATGAAGGGCAGACATTAAAGACAGAAGTTCTGAAAGTGAGTTTGTAACAAGACTCAACAATGCTTCAAGCTAAGAAAAGCAATCACCCAAACAGATGGGCAATAAACCCAAAGGACTTGTGTCCCAGAGTGTAGCAAAACATGCAATTTCCTAAGACTGTGCGAGATGAAAAAGTAAAATCTGTGTGGAATCTCTTGGCAAAGATAAAAGAATCAAAACCCACAACTTTTTTTTGTTAACAATACATTTTTTTCGTCCAACAAAACATTCAGCCAAGAATGTTCTTGGGTCAGTCAACTCCTGACCCAAGAACAGAAGAACATGTTATTTCCGCTAGGTAATGAATCACTCCACACTGCTCTCAGAATCTGTTTGCAGTAAGGAATCTTTGCTGGAACCAAACCAGCAGAGATTTAGTTCTCAAAGTAATGCTCAAGCAGAAGTACAACCTTTTACTCCTGCTTCAACTTCCTCAGCAGTGAGAATTTCTCTATGGCACATCACTCAACATTTTTAACTTTGAGCAGGAAATTCCTCTACATGAAGAATCCAGCTGCTGTATTTATCCTAAGGGAGAGCTCTTACGTCACAGGTACATATGAGGGCTTTGCATACCTGAACTTCTGGTATGTCTGTGAAAGGTAAGTGTTCATAGATGATAGGTGTTCACTCTCTCCTTCAAAGAGTTTATTAGAAGCAGCATGCTGAAGGACCTTTGCCACACAACCCAAGTTCCTCCTCTGGTCAGGGTGTATCTGGCCCCCAGCTGTCATATCAATTATATCAAAACCATCAGGAGCAACAATGGCAGGGTTCATGTAGCGGTAGTACAGGAGGTTGCCAACAATCTGAAAGAGAAAAAATTAAGATCAATAATTTGAGTGATCAAAAAAATTGTGATTAATCATTTCTAGTTCTGAATTAGACCATAGGAACCAGTGCTAGAAGAACCCCTAGGATAGATGTGTTACCTATATGGCTAACAGAGTCTTTTATAAATGTGCCTCTTACAACATACCTGTGAACTTCAGTTATAGACTTTTACATTTCAATTTTGTGCTGGCTTTAGGTCATGTAATGCAAGGCATTGAGTTGAACACCAAGACAAATATAACTTCTTCTAGATTTTGCAAGGTTCAGCTCCAGAGGCTCATTCTCTGAAGTACTACAGATAACTCCCAGTATTTAATGCATTAAATGACATTAAAACATTGACATTGTTGCTCATGAGGACTGCAAGCAGCCCTAGAAATATGGAGAACAGATTTTTCCCAACTACAATTTCTGTAATGATATTACAGTAGTTTATATTGTGTAGATGTTGGCTTCAGAACATTCCTGATTGCAGAAACAGGCATGACTTTTCTTTATGTAATTTGCCTCATCTTATGTGTAGCCACACGAAGAACTAAACTTACACATTTAAAGGCTTTCAGCTGGGTACCTTATGTTCCATTTGCTAGGTTATTTTTTTCACTCATAAATTGAGCAATGCCTTAATCTGTATTGCTGGAGTGATAGACAGAAGTACCCTTGCTACTTGTAAGGATTTTTAATGCATTGTTAAAACACAGAAAAGCTGAGGAGTTTGAAGTTCTTTAGGCTTCAAACTGAGGAGTTTGAAGTTCTCTAGGCACCAGGACACACACATTATATATATCTTTTACTGTTTTAAAAATACTGAAGAGTATCTTTTTGCAAAATAATAGGAAAGTTCTATTGAAATGTTCTGCAAGTTTTTAGCCATTTCATTAAACACTAATGGAAGTGCCTTTATTTAAGTGGAAATAGTTCTAGTTTGAGAGAGTTGTCAGTCTCTCAGCTGCCTGTAAGGCTCATGGAGTGATTGCTTCTGGAAATGCACCATGGCTGTGATTGCTTAGCAATGACCAGTGTACCGGTGCCCTGCTTATTACTAACACTTTGCTCTTCAGTCTGTACAAAATGCCACCCCTGCAACTTTGACAAGCATCTTAAACTCATTTTTTAGGGCCTTTCCCCAATTAATCTAGTGGTTTTTTTTTGTTTTTTTTTTTTTTTTTTTAAATATGTTAACAACTTCAGGCCAGGGAAGACAAAAAAAAAAAAAAAAACAGACCACTGTGTTCTCTATGAAAAGACCGCTGGTGGTAAGGACTATAGTACACAACAAAACCCCAAAATGATTCAGATAGTATATGTTCTTAGAAGACCGGGATTTATTTAAAACAGGTTGAACACTGTCTTCCCTAAGAATATCTGAGCACCCAGATTGAGACAGCTGGGGTGTGACAACAGAGTTTGCTTCTGCTGCCCTTCCAGCACCCATTTGCAACCCAAGAAGTGCCCAATATCTTCCAGGAAATGCTGGTTTTCTTAGTTCCTTAGAATGCTTAGTATCAATAAAAATCTCCTTTGGCATTAAAAGAACAAGCTGACAGCAGTTTGCCCTCAGAACTCTACCTTCAATAGTTCATCTTCTGTTGCATCTGGGAATTTCTCATGGAGTGTGCTCTTCAGAACTTTGGCTATGTATCTCATTCCATAACTACATGTAGAACAAACGGAAAGGAAAAAAAAATTAGAAAGACTTAAATGAAACAAAACAATCATTTTAGTTAGCTGTGTTATTGGCCTTTTCCCCCAGCCACTTAAAACACTAAACGAGATGATAATGAAGTATACAAAAGGTTTCAAGTACAGGCGTTCATGTGGCTGCTAAAGCAGAGTAGAAGTGGAGAAACCACTCCCTCTACCGGGGAAGAAATCTGAGAGGCTTTTACTCCAAGCCATGTAATTTTAAAGGATCTCCATTGCTGAGTTGCAAGTGAAGGATCACTGTGCACGTGGACTGCAGCATGAGGAGTTTGAACTCAGCACTTACGGCATCATATTGAGCGAAGAGAATATGGACGTGAGAACTTTGTCAGTTACTGCTCGCAAGCTCTGAATGGATGACTCCAGTTTGTTGACCACTTCTGTGTGTGTTAATGCTTGTTCTGTGGTTACATCATATGGCAATTTGCTGTAAAGTAAACAGATATTAAAACAAAGTATTTTATTCTCAAATACTTTTAGCCTATTTCATTTCATAAGGGCCACCAGCGAACAGAAAAAAAAGTGTCAGACAAATACACTTGAATTTGGCTAAATAATGGAAGCCTCAGATGCATTAACTTCCTTTTTTTTTTTTTTTCAAGGATGGCAGTTTGTTTAGGTGGGGGTGCACATACCACGTACCTTCTCTAATTAAGAGAAGGAGGATGCTAATTTAAGGCATGCATCTCTACATCCCAGTCCCAGCGTAGCTCCTCAAAATCCTGGGATGCTACTTACATGCTGTTTTAAGACCTGAGACACGGCTATGAAATCTACCATGGCATACTTTACTACACTTGTAAACATTAAGTAATTGACTTTTGATGTTCACGATCAGGAAAATGATCCCTTTGTTGTTCTGAACAGGTTAAGGTACCTGGTTTTCAAGCACCTGTCCCCAGAAGCTTTCATTGTGCTGCAGGGAAACAGGGAAGGGTTGCACAGGCACAAGTTCAGTTTGTTAAGAGAAGGAAAAGGAAAGAAGAACTGAGGGATGCCTCATGCATTTAAATGGTACAATATGTTCAGTTTGTCACTCACCTGGCCTCACCGGTCTGCATTTCTAGCTGGTTTACCCATGACTTGTACACATCCACAGGACTAGTGTTGATTATGAGGGACTTGTCCTCCATGATCTCCTTCACCACTGGGGCCAGGAGCTGGCGCAGAGTGTTCTGTCCACGAGCACCTCGGTTGAAGCTGACAACCATCTTAATGACAGTGGGGTTTCCAGTAACAATATCCTGTATCTGGTCTACCTTAGAGCTGTATCAAGAACAGAAGAGTTCCCAGATATGGCTTTGCATGCAGTGATCAATTTGTTCAAAATTCACACTTTTAAAATTACCTTATTTTCATGTTAAAACATGTTTATACAGTCTATTTCTCAGGTTTTCATATAAAACAAGTTTATAGAAAATACTACTTGAATTTTGCATGTATTATAACAGTGTCCCTGGATTTTAGCATAGTTAGTGGCAGTTAATATACTCCTGATTCAGACACAAATACATGTTTAACAAATATCTGTGAAGGGCATAAAATAAGGTTTTATCATTTTGTGATAAACGATGACTCTCCACTTATGGAACATACATTTACACAAAGAACGATAATACTTTCTGCTCCCTTAAATACTCAAACACAAAGGCAAGAAACACTACTGTCTATTGTTTCAAGTGTTTTGTTTTTTTTTTAAAGACAAAAATATTGTCTACCTCAAATAATTTTTCTGAATTTGAAATAGTTTCAGTTAATGAATAAGTTACCCTGAAAACAAATTTCTCTCTCATAACAAAAATAAGTAAGCAATTTTACAGTAAAGATTAACCATCAAATTCCTTTAGGCATGAAGTATTCATTGAACTCTGCAATGTAAATTAACTAGCGCCTTCTTTGAATGCACATACTTAATCTCCTCTTCTAGAGCAGTTTTGAAGAGTTTGAGGAGCAGATATTCTTCTCGCTGATTTGAGGCGTAGTTGTATAGGGTGAAGATGACCGTATCCATAAACTTGGTTGATTTGTTTTGTGGCATCTGGAAAATGAGCTTTGCCAGATACGTGGGATTAGTCTGCAAAACAAACAAATGACTTAAACACTATTGTCCAGGACAAACTAACCCCTACTTGGGGGGCAGCTCTCTCGACATTTCTATTAACACCGAAAGTATTTATGATGATTCCCACGTATGTAATTTTTCCACCCTAGCTTTACTTGTTTGCCAATTTCTAGTGGTAAAGAAAACCCCACTGAATACTGCAAACTTAGATATCTGTAAGTAGCACCAGTTAGAATTTTATTTGTAGTGTCTGAAGGGTAGTAACTCTGTGTGTCAGCTCTATGCATCCAACGACAATGACAATTTACCAAATGATGATGGATATCTACTAAGACAACATTGCATACTACACGTCCACTTAAGTATTAGAGGGCATCTGCCTGGAAAGATGTACAATTAATCTAGAAAATCTTTTAATGAGATGCAATAAAAAGAGCAGAACAGATGCATTATATGCTGTCAGCTGGATAGCAGACAACTTTTCTACCACATATAATGCACAGTAGCAGTGACAGTAATTTACATGGACTAAAAGAAACATGGAAGAAAACATTTCTCTTTGGCCTCATTACAGACTGAAAGAGACTGAAGTTATTCTCAGACAAAAAATAGCTGTAGTTAATTTTTATATTAAGATTTACCTGTAAAAGGTAGAATAAATGTTGATAAGCTTCCAGTTTTTTTCTTCTCTCTTTACTCAAACCTTTGATACCCTGTTTGTCACCCATAACCATCTCTTCCAGTTGGCTTTTGCTCTTTTTGTTCAGTTTTTTACTGTGCAGTACCACATCCTGCAGAGAGATGACCAAAAGTCTAGATTATATATTCGTAAAGACGACAAATTGGAAAAATTAACATTTTATCAACTATATTAAATACAGTATTTCTTCAAGGGCCTTTATTGGCATTTTTGTATATATTGCTGCTCTGTTCACTGACCAGTCTTTTGAACATCTTTATTTTGTCACCAATAATTGGCTTTCCAATAATGACCATCTGGGAAATAATGGCATTAGATTCATTCATCATTTAGGTAACAACGAGTAAGCTCTCAAATATGAAGTCTACTCCATTCTACCACAGAAATTATACTTAAAATCTGCCAATCAATTACTGTTGTTCATAAAGTGACATTCAAAAGCAAATTGCCTTACTACTCAAGACAACAAAACAACTTCTACCAAGAGATATTTTGACAAGATTACTTAAGAAACACAAGGAAAACATGTAATTTAACAGGAGTATTTTACCTAATTGAGAGTGAGCAAGGGCTAGCACAAGTTGCTCAGAAAGGTTGTGAAGTCTCAACCCTCAGAGACATTCAAAAGCTGTCTGGACATGGTCCTAGGAAACCTGCTCTGTGTGGCCCTGCTTTAGCAGGGGAGTTGGACCAGATGACCTCCAGTGGTCCTTTCTAGCCTCTGTCATACTGTGATTGTGTTACCCTGAGCTTCTTCAACACACATAAGAGCTGAGTGCATGATACCAAAAGAGTCTAAACAGAGCCCACTGACCTGAAGAGTAATTCTGTTTTTCACAAGCAGTCCAATCTTTATATCCATTAAGTTCAAGTCTTTCTCCAGCTGTTGGTTGGATCGAATTTTTGTAACCACTTCTTCCCTTAACCTTGTTACTTCTAGTTCTTCTTGAAAGTCTAAGTCACTTTGGTCCAAGAGGTAGGCAAATTTACGCAGGACAGTCAAGGGTGGATTTTCAGCACTAACTATAGTTGAGGTAAATAGGCTTGTTAGTTGACATAATACTGGACATGTCTAAAAACCACAGTAAACTGATCACTGCGCAAAAAATTTTCTGACTGCAGAGACAAGTTTATGTGAGTTAAAGCAGTATTTTTGTCATACTGTGTAAGTACAGCTATCCAATATAGTTTCAGCTGTAAAACAATTGGTTTACAAACACTTGCACCTACTTCTGAGATTGAGAAATCCCAGGTGAAAGTTCAAGAAAAAGAAAAAAAATAAATATGACTGAATACAGTGACATACTTTTCCCCAAATATACAACATTCAACTGCTAACTACTTACTTAGTATTCTGTAGTCCTCCCTGGCTTTGTTTGCTCTGAGAAATGCTTGTATCTTCACAATTTCATCATTCTGGAAGAGATCAAGATTAGGCAAAAGAATCTAGTTATGACACATTTCTGCTCAGAAACACACTGCAGCTTGCACCCTCTTTTCCTGAGATTCCCAAAACTGTCCATGCAGTTATATTACCCTATTTTAATGGTTCATATTTAAAATGTAGAAAAAGGACTTACATGATCCTTGAAGTATTGCAGCCGTTTCCTGTAAGCTCTCTTGGCTAGCCACATTTTGACCCATGACTGAATCTGAAAAATTAATAAAGTTAAACAAAAGGTTAACAGACGTTGCACAAACTGTTGTGTGTGTGTTTTGAACTCGCTTTTGAAAGTCCTCTTCTGCAGGCATGATGTTCACACACTCGGAGTCATAGATGACTGTACCACAGGGCTCCTAAAAGTCCAGTGACCAGATTAATGGCCTTCTACTGAAATATAAAGTTGAGGTCAAGACTTTACAACCCATGTGTAGCACTATCTTTGGAAGTAATTTTTACCTTCAAGTCTCAGCTCTCAGTTGTAAGCCAATCTCCTTCAAAGACAGAAGGTCAATATCCAATCTACTCAAGATATAGTATCCCATTAGCATCTCAGAGAAAAGAACACTTTTCAGACAGATCTGGCAACTTTTAGCAAAATGATAATACATAAGGAAGTCTATTATAATTCAAATTCAGCAAAGCCTGATAGAAGTCAAACAGAGCTTTCAAGAAGCAATTTACTTAAGCTGTCACTTAACCTTCAACACCATGCAAGTTTCTGGAGCACAAGGCCCTCCAGTTTGTGTTCCTAGTCTCCGATTCCCAGGTGGGAGACCAAAAAAGGGGATAAAGCATACTCAGGTCCCAAATCACAGTGGGATCTTACCTTAATAATAGCAGCAACATTGCCTTGAAGCACCTTTAATCTCTCAACATAACTTCTTCTTTGTTTGAATCCTTTCCAGAAAGCCTATTTTATAAAAGGCAGGAGACCATTATTGCTAATAATAAACTAATATTTTTTAAAATCTACATATACAGCTACCTGAAAGGAGGTTGTAGTGAGGTGGGTGTTAGTGTCTTCTCCCACGTAATTAGAGATAGGACGAGAAGAAATGCACTTAGTTATGCCAGGGGATGTTTAGACTGGTTATTAGGAAGAGTTTCTTTACTGACAGAGTGGTGAGGCATTGGAACATGGTGCCCAGGGAGGTGACAGAGTCACTATCCCTGAAGGTGTTCAAAAAAATGCATGTACATGGTTCTTCAGGAGATGGTTTAGTGGTCATGGTAGTGTTGGGTTGATGGTTGCATGTGATCATCTTAGAGGTCTTTTCTGAACGATTCTAAAATAATCAGCATTTACGTTGTAGAGAAAAGACTCCCATTGTGGTAAAGAGATCACTAATGTGTAAATAAGCCTGCCATTTTTTTTTTTTTTTTTTTTTAAGATGATCTTACACATTTCATGTTGATTTTAACCAGTTTCAGAACAAATACTTTGTTGTCTAGTGCCATTTCCTTCCCTCCGCTGAAGCCATCCTTATTCTTATCACCAGTACACCCACATCCTTTAATATCCTAGTCACTGGCTTCATCCCACATAGGGAAGACTCTGCTAACTCTTGCCCGCTACATCCAACAGCTGTGCCCTACCTAACTGAACCCCCCTTTTTCCTGGCCTGCCCTCCTTCTCAAGACTCTGGTCTTCCAGAGTCACTCAGGATCATCCTGTACCACAGAAAACACCACACAGAAAACAACACAGAAAACAGTTCCATCACTTGGTTCTGCCTTTACTAGCTCAGTAGCAAACTCTTGGCAAGGAACCCAACAACAGGGATAACACCGACACTCCTCACCACCTTTCCTATATTTTGTGTTTCATCTCTATCCAGTCAGTGGCACCATCTTTGTCCTCTACTTGTTGTCTTTTCACATATCAGTTCCATTTCAATGCTCGTAGAAAACAAAACAATGTTACCTACATTTCTCCATATTTTAAAACGTGTTCACAGACCCTGAATTCCTCAAAGTACAGTACTTCACTATGCTCAGAAACCATGCCAGAAAATGAAAAGCCAATCCCAATGACAGCTGATAGTGGTAAAGGTATTTATCATCAGGAATTATTAAATTGAATTACTATAGGTAAAAAAGCAAAACAGTTGTAGATTTTTCTGTAAATTTTAGGGGGTGTTGATTAATTGTTTTTCAAAACTGGCATCAATTGCTTCTAAGAGGAGGTTCTATTTCAACATTCAAAACCAGTGTGCACACATCTGTCACTGTTCACAACCTCAGCAGAAAGTTTCCTTTATACTCCTCTGAGTTCAGCAAACTTCCAAGAACTCCTGCCAGAGCCTGAGAAAATCGGGGCAGCTGCCACTCCCTACTCAGCTATGACTTCATGGAGTCAGAGGCAAACCACTTTCAACTGGGTATAGTCTAGAAAGGAATGTATTTAAGTCATGCTTTGCCAAGGAATTTTTGCTTTGATACTCAACAAGTATCTTCTGATCTTGTACTGTACATAGTTAGGTGTACCACACAAAATCTGAGCTCCTCAGAATAAAGCCAGGGCTATATATTTCTGAGCTTCTCCCACTGAAGTAACGTCAACTGCAGGAGGATAAAATCCATACTTTTAAAAACAGATATTTGCTATTTAAAATCACAAATATTCCGGTGAGAACAAGAACATATTTGCAGATGTAGAAGTTTGAAGTGCTGCTAATGAAAAAGTGGAGACATACTTATCTGAGAATTTTTTCAGTGTAGGAAACAGCCACATCACCTGTCACATGCAGAAAGTTGTCCAAGCAATGTCACCTTCTTCTAGTACAATACCTGTATTTTGATGGCAGACGGTTCCTGGTTTTGAAGGTATGCTTTTCTCTCCTGATAATTTTTTCTGACTAAGAATCCCCTTGCTCGGGCTTGCAGCTGAACAATCAGATTTTCATTAGCAAGCCACAGCTGCTCTCGATTGTAATCTGCTGTAACTTGCCCAACAATGCTCTGTTAAGAGATCATGGAAAAAGGTCATTTAAAAGCAAAAAAAAAAAAAAAAACAAACCAACAAAAAACTTAAGGCAGAACCATCTTGGAATTTGGTCTGCATACTTCCCATCTGTACAGTTATGTTTGTTGTATCCAAGCCCCTCTGATTTACCCCTAGATTTTAATCAGTATGAGGGAAGAGGTACTTTGCTACCACTGACTTTTATAAGAAGGAGAATTGCACTCCTTCTAACCCTCAGTTATTCAGCTAGGTATGCTATTTAGAGAGAGTTTTTTTTCCCCCGTTCTTTAGGAGAGTTTTGTTTATCCAATACGTACAAGTTTTTTGTAGAAGTTAGGCATCTAGAAATAATAGCTGAACCAGGGAGGCTCTCTGTATGGAGTATTGCTGCAGTCAGTATTTCAGAAGGACCTACCCTATGACTTGAGCTGTTTGTGCAGCAGACTAAACCTGTAATCTAGCTGGACTGCAGAATAACAAAAAAAAAAAAAAAAAAACAAAACAAATTGCACAGAAGCTTGTATGATCTGCTTTCTTCTAAGTCATAATTGATGCTAATGCAAAACCTCTAGAGGAAGGGAGTTTAACTACCACACTCATCCTATTCAGCTTGGAGACAGAAGAACACTGTCAGATGATTAGGTTTAAACACAACACAGTGCTTCCACCCACCCTCAAATATATACTGAAACTCCTTGTCAGGAGTCAGTGTGAAGTCCAGAAAATATAGAAGGGTGTGAAAGCAATCAGACTTTACTCCATTGATGTCTTGCTGTTGGCCATTTAAAGGAAGGATGTGTTATAACTGTCTGCTTAAGTTTAAGTTGGTGCTATTGTCAGAAGCAGACACTGAACTACAGTGGTCTTCAGTCTCACCCAGCACAGCCTCTTCTCTTGACAGTGCCATGTCTCTCTCTCTCTCTCTCTCTCTCTCTCAAATGTTTATGCTACTTTTGTAATAAAAGCAAGAGTTTCAGGAACCTACCTGGATTTCTTCACCAGTTAACCATGAAGTTTTTGGTACAACTCCTTCTGGGGCAACACAGGTACCTTCCCCAGTTTCCACATTGTAATAGTAATCATACATATTTTTCATTACAAGATGAATCCATGGACTTTCATTAGAATCTAAAAGCAACATGTATCATTAGCACAGATTTATGCCATGTCACACTAATAAATTACAGCTCTTCCTAGCATTTCCTCTCTCTAAATTTGCTATGAAGCCATTTTATATGCAAGGTCACAATATATCTTGGGCCACTTTGTAGTAAGGATGTTTTCAAAATATCCTGTTACATGGGTCGGGATCACTCTTCTAGAATGAAACAGCAACGAAGTTAGTACAGATCCACTGCTAGCTTCTCCAAACCCCAACGTGCCACACTAGTGCTTGGTCCTGAAACAGTATGTGCTACACCTTCCATCACTCACATAAGTGGAACTGAGACAGTGTTTATTAAAAAAAAAAAGTTGTTTTATCGTCTGGCCAAACGCTGGCCTTATTGGCACGTAGCTCAGCCAGGACATTTCTTATCCACTTCATTGTCTTGTTTAGAGCTTTGGTAAACAAGGCTGTATCCTGACAGACAGGAAAAGCCTCATTTCCTCGTGGACAAAATGCCCCAAGGTAAGGCTGATAAGGTCATTTGTGCAAAATGCCTTCTCAAAGCTCACTGTTGCAGGACTAATCATGCCCATCTACTGTAACAAAGTATGCCACGTTGAGGGTAATTTTTCTCCAGCTGTTAATATTGGCTGCATTCCCTATGACCAGCTTGCAGCTCTAACATGACAAAACACCCCATTTTCTCCCTGTGGGCAGATTATAGCTCCAGCCTCTGCTGATACCTGCTCCTTCTGGCAATGCACAGTGACCATAAATGGGCCATGACCACTGACAGAGCCTGGCTTGATCTTTGGCAGGGACCTGTAAGACTGAAGAGTGTGCAGCCTAACCCTTCTCTGCATCTGCCCACAGAAAAAAAAGAAAAATGAAAAAAATAAGAGTAATGTGGTTTTCTGAGAGGATGGACTAGTCTGTTGACAGTCATAGACAAGCTGCCCTAAATTCCCTCAGAGACTAGTTTGAGACTCTAGAAATCTTTGCGAGACTCTGGAAATAGCTAGACTGGTTTCCCAGCATACATTGTGGTCTGGATGATGCGTGCAACAGTTCAGCATCACGTGAAAAACACTTGGGCAAGTGTAACATTTCATAAAAGACTCAAAACAAGCAACTGTCTTCCTTAGTTTGCAGTGATTTGAGGTGGGCCTTCTGTGCTAAGTTTTCTAATTACCCCAGTGATATGAACACACAAAACTGTCCTATTCAGGAAGGTTTTTACCTTCTTTATATTTCAGGTTCTTTGCTTCAGAGAGGTTCCTGAAGTAGGTTTCAGCACACTCAGGAATGACTCGTAATCCAAACTTGGACTGCAGTATCATAGGGATTGACTGTGAATCACCCTTCTCCAAGCTCTTGTTAATCATTGACATTCCAACAGCCACTAGGGTAAAATAATGACATAGAAAATTAAGTGGTTTACACTCCGTGTACCCACAACTCTAGCCTCCAGCAGCTTTGGTAATGGACTTCTAAGGCTGGCACACAGACAGCATGACATACACAGCAGTTCAGTGCTTCACCCATTTGCAGCCTCCTTCATGCTTGTGGGGACAAGTATTTCAGAGAAAAGCAAGCCTAAGTAGAAACACTCTCGCACACTCTGACCAGGCTGGGATGCAACCACAGCACAACTTAGAGTGATCTGAAAGCAGAGGTACTCCTCTATCAAGTGAGAGGTCAGATTCTAACACCAGAGCAGAGTTTGAGGATGGCAGGTACCTCCGTCCCCTCCCCAAGCTCAGCCTGCCCCAGCCAGCCAACAGGCTATCATCTGCAGATCACTTGGAAGCCTTCTAGAGATGGATGAAGTCATTAGGCTATAAGATGCAAACCTTAACATTCACTTTTACTGTACAAAATGGGAATAAAAACGGATTGCCATGGGCAAAGTCTTGCAACTCTAACAGCATCCATGCTGGGATCCTGAAATGACACCTTCTTGGTCCTTACCCCATGGGAGCTTGTTTAAAGCTGATGCAGCGAGTTCATGTCCTTGAGTTTGCCAGGGATGCACATTTTGCTTCCAGGGCACATAGGAGTGCCCTGAGAGGGGATGCTGTGGAGCATGTTCAAAATTTGAGGTTATGTGATACTACCCATACTCCGATTCAGGAACTCCTAAGCATCATTTGCTTTATATGCGGGTCGCATCGTCAACAAAGGAGCCAACACCACCACACCTGACAGCATGTAGCAGCACAGGGCACTTCAAAGGGCCTTACTCACTAGTAGTATATGCTGCTCTGGTCTTTAATGGTGTTCCTTTGCATCTAAATTCAAGATCCATGCATAGAGGAACAAAGGAATAGACATATGACCAGAATATACACATACTAGCTGACATGAACTTGGATACCTTTGCATCTCATACCTGCACTTCACACTGCAACACCCAACACTTTTCCTGATGCTGTGTGTATCTAGATTAATAAAAAAAAAAGGTCCCCCTCTACACTCAGTGCTCTGCCTACACAGAGCTGACTCAAAACATGCTCAGTATTAGCATCCTATGTACAGGAGACACCACGTAAGACTGAGCTAGCAGGAGAGCATTTCAGCAAGAGAAACAGTTTTTCTTTGTGGTTAGTTTGACTAAGGTGGAATGAGTAGCTTTGGCTAGACAGTAACAGACCAACCTCCAAATACACGTTGGCAGCCAGCTGAGAAAAAAAGTGAATGCACAACACCACACCAGCACCATCCGGATTCCTACCACATAGCATCCTGCTGTTTTTCAGTACTTTGAAACAAATGCCTTCCAAGCACACACGTACTCCCTACAAGACTGGAGATGAATTTGTACCACAGTTGTGCTATCACGATACCCAGATATCCAGGCTCAGCAGTAAGGAAGCAGGAAAAACTGGGAAGCCACACATCACTAGCTTGCTGCTGCTGGCTCAGTGGCTCTGGGAGCTAAGCCCTGCTGGTACACAGTCCCATGTCCCTTGTCAGCTCTGATCAACAGTATTTGAATGCTTTTCTTCCTCCTTTGCATCCTATAGTTATGGCTGCTGGAAGCTATTGTTATAAAGACAAAAGAACATACAACCTAGCTAAGGGTTGTTTCTGTAGGTCCCCTGCTGCCTCACTTTTCCTCATCTTTTAATTAGTGATGCCTTTAGTTTTGAAGGAATATGTAAGAAAAATGTTTAGTAGGAAAAAAACACACCCACAGTTCAGCAGAAAATATTGTTTTCTATTGAAATGCTAGCAATTAATACTGTACCTATTGCTCTAAAGAAGGGCCATGTGAACCTTGTAAAATTATAATCTAACTGGAGCTATGTCATCCCCAGCTGAAGAACTGTGGGGTCCAGTCCACTCCTGCAGCAGCTGGCATGCCAGTGCCACAAAAATCCTGTGAAGGGATCTTTTCCACATATACCCTCCCTTCAACCAGCTACGATACACAAAGATGCAACTGTCTAGTGTGATAAGCGTGAACTCTCAGCGGGGCCAAAGATCAGCTTTTTCCTATAACATGGGTGCTCTCACGACAGATCTTGCTTTAGCAAACAAACTCTTCCTGTGCAAGACTGAGGTCAGGACTGGTGTCTATTCCTGAAGGCTATGCAGCTGATATTGGGCCAATCTCACTTTGTCCTTCATCTACATAAGGAGTACAATGGTTGACCTGATTCAAGAAGCGAAGCAAGGTGATCCAAACTGCACAGCAAACACCACAAAGAGTGAGGAAGTGCAACAGCATTTACTGAACACATCTTACTAAATAGAGATACAAGATACAGAATCTTTTACTGACAGGGAAGTCAGGTTGTAAAACATTTTTACAATTTTAATACTGTTAGTGTTTAATTTTTATATAAGGCACAAAAATTCGTTTGGAAGGAACCAAGACTATTTTACTGCTATTCCTGCAGCAACCTCAAAAAAACACACTTTGTTCCGATGAAAATTAAAACTTTGACTGCTTTGCAAGAGTTTTGGAGTGGGACGTGGGGATTTGTTTGCCTTTTCAAAAATAGCTTCTTGGAAATAGATCAAAATAGAAGTTCATACCCAAGCTGTGATCAAGCTGAAATTTAAGTTTAGACTACATGAACACAACATGCTAAATTCCTGAGACAGGATGTGCTTGTTATAGGAAGCGTCAGGTTCTATTCTGTGGGGAAATTTTAAATCTCAGTTTTTAGCTGCAAACCCTTAGAGCCCTTCAGAAGAATGTGTTGTGCTGACACTGCTTCCTTTCAAACCAGAGGGCAGAGTACAGGAGATTAGTAGCTATTTCCACAAGAGACTTGCTGAAACAGTTCTAGTGATCATACCCGATTGTGAAAAGCTGTGCATTTACTACAAGCACTGATTAAACAAAAAGATTTTACTACAACAACTAGCCAGTGGATGGAGCAATGACCTATCATTAGCAACATGGTATGGTGTTGGTGTATGGATAATGCTGTGTTGATTTCTGCAGGCCATTTATAGGATATATTATTACTGCTTTCAAACCAGTGCACACAAATGAGGATGTTTTCAAGTTGCTCTTTAGCTTGAGCTTACATCTGCTTATAAGCTATGCATTTCCTTCCATTCTTTATGTTCAGGTGTTTCCTCATGCCTCTGGGTGGCATTGAAGGGAAGCCATTTTTGTCCACAGAAGGTATCAGCACTCCTGACCACAAGAGCTTAGCTGGGACAATGTGTGTGTCTGACCCTATCTCAGAAAACACAAAGTGTTTTCCATTTGCAGGCCTGCGGCCTGCAAAAGAAAACACACCTCAAGCATCTTCAGTGTATCTGGTTATATTAAAAATGTATTAACAGATTAAATCAATCCTAAAGTAACAGTAACTCGAAATGCAATGCTTCTGTAGCAGGGATAGAAGATATTTTATTAGCTGTGTTTGTTTTCTTCCACGCACAACTTCCCATGCACTAAGTTCTGACGTAGCCTGCCCATAAGTAACAGGCTGCTGCACTGTGCTAACGAAGGCTGAATGCAGTGCTACAGGAATGCACCGACTTCAGCAGTTGTATTCACAAGCTCTTAGGGTGCAAAAGAAGGCGACACTGACTCACTCAAAGCCAAGTCAAGCAGAAGGTGAAAAAATTTCTCAGTGCTAAGCTAACCATGGGCTGGTTTGTGCTGGCCTCAGGCAAGAACAGGTAGGGATGCCACCGTCCTGTCCAGTGTGCCCCATACACCCAGCTATGCTTGGTTCTGTATTACTTCCTAAAGTTTATTATCCATTATGAATAAAATTTTGTTCAGTCCAAACTTTCTCAGAAGTACACAATGCTCTGACACAATAAGCCTCAGCATTTTTTTCTACAGAATTCCTACTCTTGAACAGATTGCAAGAGCACACATTTCTCCAAAAAGCCTAAGTGCTCTTTTTACACTGCTTTTAAAGTGAATATGTTCCAAATTTGTTAGCACTTAAAGGCATTATGATTAAATAGGAGTAAGAAAAGTTGTAAGTGTAAGAATTTGTCTTATAACATGCATCAAGATTTCAGTCTTATAAAAGCAAAATAAGCTCCTGAATGGTATATCCCTTCTCATTCCCACATCTTGTTTGATCAGCTTTGTGAAGAGAAAGATATATTTATACATATATCTATATATAGATATATATCTACCAGTATAACACCTTGGTCATGATACTAACCTATTAAAAAAATCCACTAAGTTATTACCCAAACCTTAATTGTTACGCCTTTAGACAAAACCCCCACTGCTGGAGATATAAGCCACCCAAATTTCAGTATGACAAAGAATATGCATTAATTTTTTGGGATGTATTTAAAAGGCTGCCACACTTCCCTGAAGTGGAAAAAATAAATTACAAATTTCAGTTTTTCAAGATAAGAAAACCAAGAGCAATGCAAATGCAGGTTAATCCTTACAGCTTGATGCTTCCTTTATATTATTATTGGCATCACTGATTCCTTTTTGTATTTCATCCAGCCAGAGAAGTGCTGTTTCATCTTGCGATTCCTGGAAATACAGAGAGAAAAGCCTTGAAAAATGAATTATAACAAAAGTTGCCTGAATGTGTTGGTAGAGCTCCAATATGTTATCCTCCTGCAAAGCCCTTGGACACAAAAGAAAATTTGGCTTAAGACTGGCAAAAAAACCATGTTCATATTTTATTTACTGACTTGAATAAATTTTTAGTCCAGCTCAAACCTCAAGGTTTTCATGTATAGAAGACACGATCCTGCTAAAGATCAACAAAAATTTTGACTGAAGTCAGAAATGTTTGCAATTCCATGATACGTAGGCAAAATAATCTCAATATCAAATAAGACGACACATTATCAGGCAGCATTGTGACAGCAGCATGAAGAGCACAAAGCAGAAGACTGCAGGAAGTTGGCTTTTATTCACAGTCCTGTATTGGAAAGGATCCATGTGTACACCTGAGTACACATTACATTGGAATATAACAGTGAAAACTGACATGGAAAGACAGCTCATGTTTAATAATGATGACTTAGATCAGGTGGTGAATGTAAAAGGAATCAAGCAGCACAGCTCATCTCACTTTCCCTGGCAAGTTTACGGCAAAGTAAAGTAGATGGTGCAGGAAAGTGGGCTCAGCAGCCCCACTAACTAACCCTACTCTGTCTGCCAAAGTTCACAGATGAACCAATGCTTTGGCTGAGAAAATAGGGTTTTGGAGGTAAAGGGACACTTAAAACCTTATCCAGTAGGTGGGGGAACAAAATTAATTTTGAAGAGGAAACAGGAGTGCCACGTCTATAATAGACTAATGACGAGAAAAACTGGAACGTACGGATTTGATAAAGATCTAGGAGTATATACACAAATCTTTCAGGAAAAGAAAAAACAATCAACCAAAATCCCCCACCAAAACTTGAAACTGTCTCAAGCTAAAACAGTGTCGACCAAGAAACATCTTCACCATGAACATCCCTGATTTTATGCTCAACTCAGGCTAAAAATCCAATAGATCTGTTATCCTCAGAAATTAAAGAGAAAACAGGGTAAAAACCCCCAAAAGACAGATTTATCAGTTTGCATCATGTATGTAAACAAAATAGCAGAATATCTAAAATAATCAAACAGCTTCAGGCAATCACATGGCAGTGGACACACTGCAAGTTTCTCAGAAGAAAGTTAGTTAGCACTTGAGAGAGTGTATACTGAATTCGCAAACTACAGCTGACAGTTTTGAGAAAAGGATTGAAAAACTGTAAAGAACTCCTTATCTGGTGTCCAGCTTTTACACACAAAATACAAGAACAGACACGAATGCTGCTCTGGAGCCAAGAATGGCTTATGCCAAGCCTCACTGCCAGGTTGGAGGGCAGACCAAGACTTGGGCTAATTTTGTCTGCTAAAGCAAGCCATTGTTATTTGGCATTCAAGGGAAAAAAAGCCCAGGCAGAGAGGAAAAAAAAAAAAGGGATCAACAAAACAGCAGATGAAAATAGGGGAAAGGTTTTAGAGGCTGCAGGCTGCGGAAGGGTGGGAAGTGTCTGAGCAGAGCCAGCAGCTGGGTCATAGAAGCACTGACAGTTAACAGTGGGCAGGGAGGTAGGCAGCAAGGCACAGCACAGCTTTCTGAAGGCGTATTTCTATGTGTGACTTGCTTTCACCTCTGCATTTTCTAAACGGAGATCATCCCACTCTTCTACAAGCCTGGCTTCTTTCTCAAGAGGGGTTCAGCAACATGGCATTTCAGCCTGTGGATGAGACCCTTGAGGATTTACTAAACACAGCCTTTGATTTTTTTTTTTCAGAAAACACATTTTTACCCCAGATATCCACATGTACAGATTCCATTAGAACCCCTCATGTCAGACTTGTGGTATATTAGGAGTTAAATTGCTGCTGTAAAGCAATTTTATCTCTGTGTTGGGCAGAGCCTGAAACTGAGTCATATGTGCATATTTGGATACGTCACACCCTCTTGCTGTAGCAGACAAAGAACAAACTAGCTCCTTACCATAAACTTCATGCCTACAGGATGCTTCTGGAAGACAGATCAATCATTCTCTAGTCCCTTACAGAGGGGAAAAACATCCCCCACACAACACCTCCTGAGATGAGCTAGAGCAGCATCGTTGTTCGGCTGGCTGGATTTCACGTACTACAATGAAGATACTGTTTTTCACTGGACTGCTCTCTCTTACCTCCACTCTTTTCACAACAGGTGAGTCCTTTCTGTATCTATTCCATATTTTACTCAATTATACAGGATTTTTGATAATGTTGGCACTTCACCACCGTATGTGGATTATATTTTCCACATTGATTCATATACACTTTGGTAACTCTCACTTAAGGCATGTTTTTACTTTTTCATTTCAGTGATACCTTACCTCCCCCCTCAGCCACTTTCTATAAGGAATTTTAAAAGACCTTTCTGTGCTTACTGAAGACACATCTCTAATATTTCTGTAATAATATGATAATCTTAAGCCTGTAGAGTCTTGTTCTCTCTGCTTTAAAACATTCAAGAAAATTGTTTCACAGATAATGCTGTTAGAAGAAAACATTCAGATAACTACTGTGACAATAATCAAAGGAAATGATCAAATATTAAGCCTGTTTTTCTGACAAGAATTAAAGCTGTTTGCAAACCAAGCTAATTTTTAAAAGCTCTTTTATATATACGTATATATACACAGACACGATATATATGCACATGCATGCACGTCTTTTAAAAACTGAATAAAGCTCTTTTTCCAGATTAAACATCCAGACAACTACTTAAAGGGTTACAATCTACTAATTATAATTTCAAAAACATTCTGTCATACATCTGCCTGTAAGCACTGACAAAACTTTTTTCTGTATTTTATTCTGACATGGAAGGGTAAATGAAAAACCCAGAAGTTTTCATCCAAATTTCAGTTCTCTTCTGAATCCCAGTTTCAAGATCATGCTCTAAGCTTCACAAATGTCTTTTTTGCCTTAAACATAGCTAAGAATTTTTTAAAATTAATTACACAGCTGTTTATTCTGCAAAATCTATTTCGCAACACATGGTTTTAAGCAGCATTTTGAACATATTTGTGCTTTATGTGGAAATGTCAATGTCTCTACAAAGTTGTCTACCAAAGACTGAGGAACAGGCTTTAATAGTAAAAGTGGCACCATTGGTTTTGCTTGCATGCTAATAATGCTTACTGACGTTTTTCCAGCTGCATGAAAAGTTTTAATTGCGTCGTAATAAATTTGATCTAACATCAGCGCCAGCATTTGTTCTCAGTTCTCAAGACTCACTGCTTGCATGAGACAGTAATAAGAAGCTGAAAAGATCTACTTTTCTTTGGTGAAAAGCTGAAGAATTAATTTAATATGCAAGACCAAAAAACTGAAGGTTATTTCAATTTTCTAATTTGAAAGTTTTAGCTGGCATTAGGCAAGTCAGTGTTTTTTGCATCCTTTGCAGCCATGTATTTCATCCATGAAGTAACAAGCATAGTACTGCTGTTTGCATTGGAAATTCTGACCAGGCCTAGACCAAGGCTGCTGCTTATAAAATGAATTACCAACATTGCTACTACTGGGAAAAGCCCTCTACAGATAAGTATTACAGAAGTGTGTGATACTTTTTTTGAAAGATTACTGAAAATATGCAAAATGCAGAAAGATCATTCTAAGATTAATTTAATGCTTAATTATCAAGCTTAGTTTTGAGACGACAAAGTGAAGATTGTCCTTGAGCACCTCTGCTTTGGTTGTTCATATAAAAGGAGAATGCCACCACATCTTTTAAGCCTATATTGCTTCTCATGTGGAGATGTTTGCATTTTTCCTACCTGAAGGTGAATTATATCGCTAATCCAGTAGTTTGCCCTGCTTAATTTTAACTCTTCTTTTAAGCCTCGGAATTTTCACTGAATGACTCTGCAATCAAAACTGTGTCCCTTATCAAAACCTTCCGGGGAATTGCAGCAAGAGACTACGATTACATCCCCCCTTATGCTATAGAAGGGGAGACAACAACGATCCATATCAGAGAACAAAAATGCTCTTCAAAAAAGTCAAATGACTCCACTTTAACAGAAGTGAACAACACCACGCTGGAGTACCTGACCAGTTCTTTGAGCACCAAACTAATACCGTCTGTCTACCTCAGTGCTGTTTTATTGGGTGTACCATCTAATGCCATCATTTTGTGGATGCTGCTATTCAGGATCCGGTCTGTGTGCACTGCCATCCTGTATACAAACTTGGCAGTTTCAGATCTGCTCTTCTGCATCATGCTGCCCTTCAAAATAGCATACCACATCAATGGAAACAACTGGATTTTTGGGGAAATGATGTGCCGAACTACGACCGTGGTATTTTATGGTAACATGTACTGCTCCATTCTGCTGCTCACTTGCATCAGTGTCAGCCGCTATGTGGCCATCGTTCACCCCTTCACCTACAAAAGCTTGCCGAAACGTGCCTATGCCATCGTGGTCTGTGCTACCGTGTGGACCATCGTCTTCCTATACATGCTCCCGCTTTGCATCATGCAGCAAAGCTATTATGTGAAACAACTGGACATTTATACCTGCCATGATGTGCACAGCGCCTGTGAAACAGTGTCTTCCTTCCAGTTCTACTACTATGTTTCTTTAGCTATCTTTGGGTTTTTAATACCCCTTGCAACTATTGTTTTCTGCTATGTCTCAATTATACGAACACTCAAGACTCATGAATGGTTCTGGTATGTTAAAGTCAGTCTTTTGATCCTTACCATCTTCGCTATTTGCTTTGTGCCAAGCAATATTATCCTTATTATTCATCACTTCAACTATTACTATTACAGTGCAGATGGGTTGTACTCTTTTTATTTAATTGCTTTATGCCTTAGCAGCTTAAACAGTTGTCTTGATCCTTTCCTTTATTTTCTGATGTCAAAGATTAGAAGTCAATCCAATATTTATCTAACAATGGTTAAGATATCCAGGGAAAACTGAATTTAGTTTTACATTTATATTATTGGCATAATGATTTCTTAGAGTATTAACGCAGGCAGCGACAGACCTTAAGTGCAACAATTAAACTCAAAAAAGTATTAAACTACCCACAATTCTCAGTAAAATTTACTTCCTTCCACACACCACAAAAAGAATACTTTCAGAAACATACTTTTCCAGCTCTGTAATTTTATCACACGTATTGCAACATCTGTTGTACCTAGATTCAAGGAAGTGACTCCACACCTCCATTTCCTTCTGTGGAGATCACTTTCATGGCCACAGAGAAGAAACCAGAATACCAGTCACCACAGACTCTGAACACAAGAGGAATCAATATCTGAACAACACTTTTAGGCACATGTGTGATATCCAAATCCTTCAAATTATCTCAGCCCACAATCACTGCAGAAGCAGTGATGTGAGAACAGGTTTTTGGACCAGTGGAAGTGGGAACAAGCAAAAACACTTTATGTGCCTAGGAGCTACCAGTCTTTGCATAAGCTCCCTATCACATAGCCAAGAGCAAATACTGTCCTGTGTGTGGGAAATAAAGAGCCAGAATCCCCTGTAGGTGCAAGGAGCAGTAAATCTACCGCCTTAGACACGGAGCCTGACACTTCCAATACAGCATCTTCTATGAGGCTCCTTAACCAGCTTTGCACTGCAGACTTGTTCTTCTGCTTTGTCAGGCTTGCACTCCCCTAGCCCATGAGGGCTGCTGGGAGCTAACCCTTATCAGTGTGAATCCAGACATATATTATTTTTGCTTGGTAAGCAAAACAGGGGACCTATTTTGTAGTGCTGTATTTCCACATCCTCACAGGAAATACCTACAGTGTTACAAATGCTGAAGCTAGTTACGATTGATTGTCCACAGTATCAAAGCAAAAGGTTAGCTTTTTCAAAGCTGTTTTTCATTTATAGAAATTAAAAAGCTACGTATACACTGAGTCTAAGTTCCTGTAAAATCAGCTCAGTGGTTGGTGTTTGCATTTTTAACTGTAGCATGTAAGACAGTGATGAGAAAAGTGGTTTATATCAGTTAAATAATAGTATTGTAAAAAAAACTTTGCTTAAATAAAATCACGTGCACTAGGAAATGTCTTCAAGCAATTTCCAGCTCGGTAAGACTCCTCCTCTTGAATTTCTTCTGGCTCCTAATGTAAGTTGGTTTTATTCATGTCATTCCCTCCACATGCACAAGAAAAGATTTTAAACACAACTTTTAAATAATCCAGATGTTACACAACTGTCAAAAATAAAAAAAAAAAATTGTGAACCTGACTGTAAAACCTGTGTGCCTGTCATTCAGAAAAATAAAATAGCACAAGAACCATTTCAGAGTTTGGCACATCTGTTTTATTTTTCAAGTATCCATAATACGTTCCCTAAACAGAAAGTTTCTCCTCATTGGGACCTGAATACACTTGAGTGGAAATGGCCTTGAGAACCGTTAGAAGCTGTAGTTTAGGATTCAAGGTTTTCATGTTCAGTTTCAGATAAGGAACAAGTAGATGTGATCTGAGGTTGAGACCTGTAATGAGTACTGGGAGATCTGGGTGCAGAGCCCAATCCCCTAAAGCCACCGCAGCTACAGGGTTGTGACAGCAGGCTAGTTAGAATAAGCAAGCAGGCTTGACCCATTTGTTTTTCTAGAAGTTGGGGAGCACAGGAAGTTCACAGCCAGACCTATCTGATTCTTGTAAATAAATTGCTTCCTTTTGCCACAGCTCACTCTTAAAACATGCTAAATACAGTTAAAGGCAGATCTACTTTATAAAGAGGGCTCAGAAAAAGCAGGGAATAGACAGACTTTAGACATTGCACTATCTTTTCAATTCTGTTTCAATGTATTTTTTTTTTAAGGGAAAGTTCAATCTAAATCATACCTTTACCTAAAGATTGTTGGTGTATGTGTGATCGACCAACATAGAGGTAAGTCAGATTAATAAATCTGAATATTTCTCTTGGGACCACATATAGTAAACAGGAGCAACGCTCCTCTTTACAGAAGAGATATTTCAAGTAGTTGTCAAAGGACTACAAAACCAAAATATATTGGGAGAGTAAGGCCATCAGACACCTCTAGGAACTTCACAAATATTTCAATGACAACATTTCAAAGAGATTGCCCAGGTTCTTTTCCAAAGCCTGGAGAGACCTTTATTTTCTCTCAGCACATTCATACGGGAACAAGAGCAGGCACCAGGTTTGAACCTGGGCAGCACAGTGGCAGCTAGCAGGAGGAAGTCAGAATCATAGAATCATTTAGGTTG